AATAAAATCGTGCCGTGATGCGAGGTCCCAGTTGGAGTAGCCTGTCCTGGTCTCTCTTGACGTCATTGTTTCTGAAGAGCATCTCAGTTCCTGTGACCAATGGGCCGCGTCTCTGTTGCATTTTATTCAAAGTCCCTCAACCTCAGGGCTGTTAGCACGTGTATCCGCGGGGGGAGGGGTATCCTGCTCCGTGAAACCTGGGGTGCCCGGCGGTTCTGGGCCACAGCCAGAGGCGTCGGGAGTGGGGTTCCCCGCGCATGGACAGCTGTGCAGTTGACTGTCCCTCCTGCTTCTGTCCAGTCTTCATAGGGTCCCAGCCTGCACACTCGTCTGCGCTGGGTCCCTGGACATGTGTACTTGCTACAAACAGTGCACATGTATCTACCCATTTCTTCAACGGCATTCAATGAGTTGCTACTATGTGCTGCTCCAAAGAGTGCAGTAAATGTCCCAAACACCCAGAGGTCCTGCCCCTTACATTCCGGTGGGGAATTGTACAAATAATGTTTGGTTTTTGTTTTTTCTCTATTGATTTTTAGAGAGAGAGGAAGGGAGAGGGAGAGAGAGATGGAAACACTGATGAGAGAGAACATGGATCGACCGCCGCCTGCACGCCCCCCACTGGGGATCAGGCCCACAACCTGGGCATGTGCCCTGACTGGGAATCGAACCGGCGACCTCGTGGTGCAGGGTCGACGCTCAGCCACTGAGCCACCCCAGCCAGGCTAAATAGTGCAATTTATTGCACATCGTAAAATCTAAATTTAATGGAGAATTGCCATGTAAGCAAGCAGTACTGTGGATGAATCTTTCTAAATTAAAAAAGAAAAAGAAAAAATTTGGTATCTGTGTTGCAAATGATGATGGATGGGAGCCGCTCTCTCCACCTATTTTATAACATTTCTCGGCAACGTCAAGTTTTTCTTCACTGGGCTTGAAGCAGTCGTCCAGGAGGGCGTGCTTGGAAACAGCTGAGCATTTTCACGCCCGAAAGTCTGAAACACTCGTGATCACTTGCGCTACTGCTTTTTGTAGCTTGAGGTGGTGTGTGCTCAGGACGTATAATAACCAATCCCACAGCCCTTGTCTCGGTGGTATTGTTTCTCCCGCACCCCCTCTCATGGAAGAGGGATGTGGGGCTGTCTCTTTTGCAAACCTTCTTTACGATGATTACGGTCACCCGGGGAGAGAGGACGTGTTTTCTTCTCGTGTGAGAGGAGACTGCAGCGGCTGCCGTTTGATGTTTGCCTCTTTGGCTGTTGCTGAGATCCCTGACCTGGCCAGGCACACCGTAAGGAAACCAAGCTCTGGCGCATGGATCCCGCCAAGATCCCCGCAGATGCCCACCTCGGGCTCTTCCCGGGTCGTTTGCACGGAGGGTTACTGCAGGAAAATGTGACATTGTCCTTAATGCCTTTTTTTTTTTTTTTTAATCATCCTCACCCGAGGACATTTTTCCATTTTTTGTTCAGGTAGAGTGGGAGGGAGAGAGAGGAAGAGAGAGAGAGAAACATCGATGTGAAAGGGACACATCGAGTGGTCGCCACCCGCACAACCAACCAGGGCCGGGGACAAACTGCAACCGAGGTACGTGCCCTTAGTGGGAACCGAACCCGGGTCTTTGTGGACCACAGGCCGACGCTCTAACCGCTGAGCCAAACCGGCCAGGGCCTTAATGCCTTTTGAGATGGACTTTAGACACCGCTGACGGACGGTTATTGGAAATGAGGCAGGCGTCCCCTTAAAATGGAACCTGAGACCCATCGCACGGGGCAGACCTCCGGCGGACACGTTCTGGATCCAGAAGACAGGCACGTGATGTGTTCTTCCTTAGCCGCAGACAAATGTGCCCGTTCACAGGCGACACGTGTCCCGAATGGGCCGCGTGACGGCCCTGCGAGCCATCAAGCGGTGGCCCTGCCGGTCCGGAGACCTCAGCGGATGCTGGCGTTCCCATGCGGGACGCGTGCGGACATGGACATGCATCGACACGCTGTGGCATGTTTTTCTAGCTCACACTTTCAGCGGGGACAGAGAGCAAGGATCGCACGGTGGTCGTGAGATGCTGTGAGCCAAGGGGCACCGGACACTTTGCAGCTGGACCACGCTTGGGGGCTGCCTCCGGAACGCAGTGCACTCTTGCCTGGGCAGAGCCGACCCCGCGTCTGTGAAGCATCCCAGGTCCGGCGGGCTGGTCCTGCTGCAGCGCAGCTCCCCGGTCCAGCCCCACGAAACCCCGGGGTGTTCTGGAAACTGCCATGGATCCCCTTCAGACGGTCAGGCACACTGACCTCCCTGGCTAGGAGCCAGCGTCTCCATGTCTCCAGGGCGAGGCGGCCGAGCGGCACACTTTCAGGAGTGGTAAACGGTGTTCGGGGACGTGTCCGAACTAGTCCATCGCTGCGACAAAGCGGCATTCTCTCAAGAATCGTTCTGTGCTGAAAACTGTACGTTTGTTGGGGAACATGCTTAAGAGAGGTGAGCATGAATGAACCTGGAGCCATCTCGGGGAGGTCCTGGAAAATATCTGCGAGGAGCTCAAGTTTCTTTTAATTATTATTATTATTATTTGTTAATCTTCACCGAAAAATATTTTTCCAATTATCTGTAGAGAGAGAGGAAGGAAGGGAGGGAGGGAGGGGGAGAGAGAGAGAGAGAGAGAGAGAGAGAGAGAGAGAGAAAGGGAGAAAAACATGGATGTGAGAGAGACGCATCAATTAGTTGCCTCCCATAACCGGGGCCAGGATTGAACCTGCAACCCAGGTACATGCCCTTGACCGGAAGTGAACCCACGACCCTTTGGTCTGCAGGCCGACACTCTAACCACTGAGCAAAACGGGCCAGGACACCTCAACTTTTAAAAAAATTCAAATAGCTAAATAGGAATTTTTAAAAACATGTTTTTATTGATTTCAGAGAGAGGAAGGGAGAGGGAGGAGGAGAGAGAGAGAAACATTGATGAGAGAGAAACATGGATCGGCCGCCTCCAGCACGCCCCCTACTGGGGATCCAGCCCACAACCCGGGCACGTGCCCTGACCGGGAATCGAACCAGCGACCTCCTGGTACAGGGGATGAGTGACACTCAGTCCACAGAGCCACACTGGCCAGGCTACACTCAAATTGTTCATATGCAACATTGAATCATCTAAAATATTCCCTTAGAAAATAGACTAATTCTTAATGAAATATATAAAATAAAAAAGGGATGTTCCTGTTTTTATCAAATTCTTTTTGTGTTTCCCTCAACTTTCTTAGGTTATAACTGACGGGTAGCGTTGTGGAAGGTTAAGGTGCAGGGTGCGGTGATTCGATGCACGTATATCGTAACACGTTTAGCACCCGCACGCGGTTCTTTGTCAAGTTTAGTAACGATCGGCATTTCCAGAAGTGGTTGAAAGGTTTCCGGGCCTGCATGGCCGAGATTACGACTCTGCACATCTAGGGCCGGCCGGCGCGGGTGGGCGTTTCTCATGACCGCCAAGGCCACGCTCATGATGTTGGCGGGCGGTCAATCGATACACTTGCGGTGGTTTGTCTCGTGTATTTTTTAAATTGGATAAAGTACCAATGGATGTTTGAAAATTACGTGTAGCCACAGATTTCCCAGTTTCTCATCAAAGTACATCTTTACTGCGAACCAGGGAGGTTATCAGAGAGTGGACAGGTAGCGTGATTTCAGTACACATCCTGGATGCTACGTCACACATGTTGGTCCTACTTGAGAAATGTATCAACAGTGAAGTAAAAAGCACGCAGGTGGGATAACTCTGAGCTTCTGGGGCCGGGGCCGCGCAGGTATTCAGACGACGGACATTGAACTGCACGTGACTATTAATTTTTACCAACTAAAACTTGCGTTAACTATAACTTGAGCCCTGGCTGGGTGGCTCCGTTGGTCGGAGTGCCGTCCCCCACCCCAGAAGGTTTCGGATTCAATTTCCACTTAGCCTAGGTTGTGGGTTCGAGCCACAGTCAGGGTGCAAACAGGAGGCAACAGAGTGATGTTCCTCTCTCACATTGATGTTGCTCTCTCTCTCCATCTTCCTCTCTTTCTAAAATCAGTAAAAACGTATCCTTGGTGAGGATCCCTCCCCCACTGTCTCTCCATCATTTTGAGAATCGAAACTCCATTCACAGGAATGTAACACTTTAGTTTCAACTGTGTGGCCCAGTTGCTACCTCTTATCTCTTACTGTTATATTTAGTTCTATACGTATATTATATATAGTACTATATGGGAATAAACTATGGATTATACATGTATCTGTATATACTTTTTTTATTCAACACTATTATTTATTATTATAACTGTTATTGAGCAGTGGATCTTAACTGTCTTCTTTGATATATTAAAATGCATATAGTAATGCATATATATGTGTGTGTGTGTATGTATATATATATACACACACACATACATATTCAAACTTTATTCTCTACTCTGAACCTCATGCCAGGTTTATTTACTATATTTTAATAGAGTCATTAAACTGGATGAATGTTGATGCTGTTGGCCTCACTGAGCTAAAGACACAGTTAACCACAATGTGTACGTGTGTGCGTGACGGTATATACAATGCAACTTCACTCAGTTACTTACAGGACAGAGTACAAAACAGAGGTCTGTGTTGCCAATGGAAGAGTAAGTTAGTATCAGAGTTTATGGGAAAAAAGTCGTCGGTAACGACAATGTTTACAAAGTGTTTCTCAGTGAATACAAGGTGTTTCTCCTGCAAGTCGTCCTGCCTGCCAGTGGCGGTCACCCCTTGTCGGGCGTGTCCCCTCCACCCGGGGAGGCTTTTCTGTGTCCGTTGTGTCGGAATGTGCCTGTGTGTGCCTTTTCTGCCCGGACGCTCTCTCGGGAGCACATGAGGCAGTGACCGTGAGCCACGCTGTGCTCCCCAGGAGGCGCTGGCACGGGAGGGGCGCAGGGGAGTTCTTTCTTCTGCTTCGTTCTCCTCCGTGTTGGTGTATTAACGCCTGTCGTTCCTCTCCCAGTGCCTGGAGCCGTGCAAGGAATCCTGGGACCTGCGCAAGGAGCAGTGCCAGAGCTTCTGCGAGGTAAGGCACCCGGCGTGTGAGGGCCCGCCGCGCGCAGTGGCCCTGGTGCGAAAGGCTCGCCGTTCTCCTGCAGCCTGGGAGTTCTCTACGGTGTGCGTGTGTGCATGTGTGTGTGTGTGCACGTATGCATATGTGTGTGCATGTGTGCGTATGTGTGCATGCACGTGTGCACAGGTGTGCGTGTGTACGTATGTGTGCATGCACGTGTGCACAGGTGTGTGTACGTATGTGTGCACATGTGTGCACATGTGCGTGCATGTGTGTGTGCATGTGTACGTATGTGTGCATGCACGTGTGCACAGGTGTGCGTGTGTACGTATGTGTGCATGCACGTGTGCACAGGTATGTGTACGTATGTGTGCACATGTGTGCACATGTGCGTGCATGTGTATGTACGTTTGCATGTGTGCATGTGGGCATATGTGTGTGCATGTGTGCATGCACATGCACGTGTGTGTATGCACGTGTGCACAGGTGTGCACGTGCGCATATGTGCATGTGTGCGTGCGCACATATGTGTGCATGTGTGCGTGCATGCGTAAGTATGTGCGCATGCACGTGTGCACAGGTGTGCACGTGCACATATGTGCATGTGTACGTGTGTGTGCATGCAAGTTGCACATGTGTGCATGTGTGTGTGTGCGTGCGTGTGTGAGTATGAGTGAATGCAGATCAAAAAGAAAAGCATTCTTGCACCTTCGTAAAACCTAGACACCCGCTGATTCCGGGATTGTTTCATCAAACAGAAAGAGAAAAAAGTATCACCTGTGCTTGGAAGTCTGGAAGCTTTGTACAGGTGCGAACGACGCCATCCCCCCTCCGTCACGGCCGCCCTGCGGGCCAGGCTCTGCCTGGAGGGACACTGCATGCCCTCTGGGAGAAGCCCCACTTTGTCTGTGGCAGGGCTTCTCCAACGTTTGCATCTCATCGGGCCCCCCGGCAGGGAGGCTGCCCCCTTGGCCCCGTGGGGAGGGGCGCCTTGCTCCCACTGTGCGCTCGGGCACGGTGAAGGGCAGTGCTGTCCTGCAGGACCGCTGTCTCAGAGCAGCGACTGCGTGGGGACCAGCAGGGCTGCACCGTCCCTGCGGGGCCAAGGGGCCCAGGCCCAGCGCAGCCCGGCCTCCGCAGAGACAGCCGGGAGGATCGGCCGGCTGCACCCGCCTCTCTGAGGAGGGGGTTCCCGAAAGCCCACGAGGGCTGGGCAAGGCGTCCAGGGTGGCAGTCACAGGCGCTGCCCTGAGGGTCCTGGGGGTGACGCCGAACATGTGCCCTTGTGACTTACGGGGCTTCCTTGAATGGAACCGGGCAGAGGGGAAGCTCTCTGGGCACCTGCAGATGGACTTGGTGTCCTTCCCAAGTGGCTGCTACTGAAGCCTGCAGCCTGTGTGTCCCTTTGAAAGCAGTCGGTCCCACTCTGAGCGCACCCCTGTGCCACGGGGAAACAGCCCCATCGACTGCACCTTGCTTGCCAGGTCCACAGGCACGAAGCCTCCTCCCTCCGGAAAACACCGAGGGGCACGCGCAGGAGCCCAAGGTCATCCACAGTCACCATGGCCTCCTTCCTCTGGGAAACGCGGAGGGGCACGCGCGGGAGCCCCAAGGTCATCCACAGTCACCATGGCCTCCTTCCTCTGGGAAACGCGGAGGGGCACGCGCGGGAGCCCCAAGGTCGGTGTGGCAGCCTGGAGGATGGGCCCTGGGACCTCATCCAACCGCCTGCCCAGCCCAGGTGGGAAGACCAGGGCACCTGCTTCTGACCGACGCGTGTGCCCAAGCACCGCTGCGCGACCTCACTGCACAAGGCCGGCAGGTGCTACGGGTCATTCCAGAAAGTGTTTGGTATTATTTACAAAAGCACAAAAGCGTTTCTCCACGACGAACACAGTCCACGTGGGACCTTCCGAATGTCACTTTTATTTTGCTCTGAAAGTTCCCCCGACGCTTGGCGTGTGGCGGGCAGGCGGGTGACCTGCAGCTGGCCACAGAGCGCCCGAGGCCCGAGGTCACCGGCAGGGGCGTCTTCAGAAGCATCTCATGCGGCGAACATCACACGCCTCCAGGGATGCAGGGGACCGGCCGTTCCAGGGCGTTCAGCGACGGCTCTGCCCAGGTGCCCAGCTCAGCTAGTGGTTTAGGGTGACATCAAATACCAGAAGGACCTCGGGTGTCCTTCCATCCCAGCCCTTTTCTGTACCGTGGATGACAGAGGAGCACACATCCCACTGTCTGCCCGCCCCCGAAAGAGCCGACCACCAGGTGTTTCAAGGACTTTGGCTCCTTCAGGGATCGTACCCCAAGTTTTCCAGCAGCTGTGCACTTCCCTAGATGAAACGGAAGCACTAGTTTTCCATTGCTGCCTAAGAAATTACCCCCGAACGCAGTGGCTTCAAAGAACCCACGTCACGATCTCGCCGTGTCTGGGTCAGGAGTCCTTCCTGCAGGTGCATGAACGCTGAGACCAAGGTGTTGGTTGGACTGAACTCTCTTCCGGGGTCCGGGCCACGGGAGAATTGGCCTCGGAGCTCAGTCCCCTTGTTGGCAGGTGCATGTCCTTGGGTCGTAGGACTGAAGGCCTGTGTCCTTGCTGGCTGTTGGCTGGAGTCCACCTTCAGTTCCTGGAAGTTGCCTGCCGGGGTCCTGTCCAGGTGGCCCCCGTCATAGGCTGCTCTCAAAGCGGCCATTGACCTATTCAAGGCCGGCAGGAGGATCTCGGTCACGGGCAGACTGAGACCGAGTCCTGTGTAACAGCGTAATCTGAGGAGTGACATCTCTTCACCTTTGCAGATAAGAGATCTTCCTTTCTTACAGCTGCATAGTACTCCACTGTGTACATGTACCACAGCTTTTTTATCCATTCGTCTACCGATGGACACTTGGGCTGTTTCCAGATCTTAGCTAGTGTAAATACTGCTCCTATGAACAAAGGGGTGCACATATTCTGTCTGATTGGCGTTTCAGGCTTCTTGGGATATATTCCTAGAAGTGGCATTATGCTGAGTGAAATCAACCAGTCGGAGAAAGACAAACATCACACGATCTCACTTATATGTGGAATCTAGTAACATGATAAACTGACAAACAGAATAAGCCCCGAGGCAGGGAGGCATGGGACAGACGGCCAGACCTAGAGGAGGGGGAGAGGAGGGTGGAGGTTAACCGAAGAACTTCCGTACACACACGCGTGGGCACAGACCACCGTGCGGGAAGGCCTGGGTGGGGCAAGGGCTGGGAGGGGGCGGGTACAGGGGGGATGCGGGGACATCTGTAACACTGTCAACAATAAAATCAAACCTGAAAACATGAGATTCAGGCCTCTTGAGATGTGAAACAGAGCGAAGACTCAGAAATAACACGAATCGGATGACCCGAGGCAGCGGCCGGGGCGAGGGGCCACATCTCGGTCTGCTGTGCTCTTACGACACTGCTTCCTCGTAGTATTCCGCTCTGCGCTCAACCGCGTGTCTGAGCACACACAGGCCGGCATGCAGTCCTGAGGCTCCAGGTGGCCGTGCTGTGTGGTCCATAACCCAGGGCGCCTCAAGGTCGGCGGCTGTGGGTTCATGCGGTTACGTCTGACCCCTGGAAGGGGGATATCATGGAAGGTCATTGGAAACTGTCTCCCTGGAAATTAAAATCTGACATGACTGTGAATGCTTCTGACCCCCCCCCCCCGGGGTATTAAAACGGGACCCGTGGGTCCAAATCATGATCTGCTGGGACAGAGAGGTTGATCACAGCCGGAAGGTGGGCACGACCGAGCCCAGCTCACGGGAGGGACTTGCGGACAGACGTCAGTCCACGGGTGAATAACTCAGGTCCTGGTCCGTTTAGTTGCTTTGGGTGTTCTCACGTGTCTGTGTGTCTTCAGTTTCTGTTTGTCTGGACGTACGTGTCAGCCTGTTATGTTGAAATAAAGTGAACTTTGCAAAATGGGATTCCTTATTGAGCATTTAAAATTTTTTTTCCTTTATTGATTTTAGAGAGAGAGGGAGGGAGACGGAGAGAGAGATAGAAACATTGATGAGAGAGAACATCGACTGGCCGCCTCCTGCACGCCCCCCACTGGGGATCAGGCCCACAACCTGGGCATGTGTCCTGACCGGGAATCGAACCGGCGACCTCTTGGTGCAGGGTCGACGCTCAACCACCGAGCCACAGCGGCTGGACTGTTTGAGCATTTTGAAGGCTGGTCATTCACTGAGATGAACCTAAGACGGTCGGTTATCACATTGCGTTTTAAGAATGCACACCAGGTCCATGTGGTCACAAACCTTGGTTGGTGTGACCGGGTGGGCAGTGTGGATGCTGTCCGACTTTTCTCTTCAGCTCAAGGTACGTGGGGAATGAACTGAAAGGCTTCATGGAATGCTTATGGATTTTTATCATTCTTAGGACATTTCTTTCACCTGTCTTCTTATAGAGGGAATTATCCTCATGATATCAAATTTTATGTCAGTCTATCAAAATGGAAAGTTTTGGAGAATATAGTTCCTGAACATATCAAGAATATTAAGTGACTTTTCAAGGTTCAGGAATGTATTGGCTAGGTAGAAGATGTAACATGTAGGTAGAAGATGTAACATGTAGGTAGAAGATGTAACATGTAGGTAGAAGATGTAACATGTAGGTAGAAGATGTAACATGTAGGTAGAGCATGTAACATGTAGGTAGAACATGTAACATGTTTGCCAACGTAATGTCGGGTATTTTTTTTTTTATCTTCACCCAAGGATATTTTTACATTCATCTTTAGACACAGTGGGAGGGAGAGAGAGAGAGAAACATCGACGTGAGAGAGACACGTCGATTGGTTGTCACCCGCACAAGCCCAGCTGGGGCCGGGGACGAACTGCAACCGAGGTCCGTGCCCTTGGCGGGGATTGAACCTCGACTCTTCGCCCTGCGGGCCGACACTCTAACCGCTGAGCCAAAGTGGCCAGGGCGACTTTTTAAATTTATTTTTCATAGTGAGGCTCAATTTTCATTGAATTTGTGTAGGA